GACCAGTCATTTTGTCTCATCAGATATAACTGACATTTTTTGAATTACGGTCTGGTATTGCACAAGCAATTAGCAACAATCTGATGGCAAAATTCTATCACTTTGTGCAGTGAAAACGAACAAATTGATACGTTCTAATTTAGAAATCGTGCGTGGAGGAGAAAATTCACTCAACTGATAAATTTTGTGGACAAACCTTTCAGGGACTCGGTAAGAAAATTACCATTTTTGTAACTGTACGAGGAAAGAACACACGTAAACAATGAAACAAATGCGATAGTATGCGTGCAATCAACGATTCCTGAAAGAAACTATGGAGCAAAAAGGTACTGGGAAAAAGATTAACCGCTCTAGCAAGACGGATGATGGAAACTAACTGGTCTTTGTGAATCAAGTCAGAATTGAATCATGGATCAATTATTATTTGAGGTATTGCAACGGGTCCAGTTTGTAGAAATAGACGGTATCAGATGGTTTTATTAGCGTAAATCGTATTGGAATATAAATAGCGATGATGAAACTTTATCCATAAAAGGGACGGGAACGTACCTTATCGTTGAAGTGGTCACCAGTGCTCTGTTGAAGAAGATCGTTGCCAACGTCGGGTGAATCAGAGTTTCTTCTGTCCAATAAACGAAGCAAATTTTATGATCGAAAAATCCGCAATGCTAAAATTGATTGCCAAAAGCTTGCAGTGCAGTCTTCTGTGCTAAGCCGGTCAGAAAGTAATCTTCAAAGAGAAGTATACTACCCACAACAAGTTCGCAAAGATGGGTTGTGCTATATCGTGCATAAGCACAATGTAAAACGGTCCGTTCATCTGTCCGGTGGCCGAGGTCCCTGGTTTCACTCCCAGCTGGGTCGATTTCTTCGCGTACTGCTGATGAGATCCAACCAGGTAAAAACAGCTGCCTTGTGCTCCCTAGTTTTCCAGTTAGTGCTCCCTTTGCTCTGTAGGTGAAGAATTCAGCATATCAAATTTTAACTACTGAAAATATTGCTGTCAATGAATATTCAGAGGGAGAGGAGTTGTGGTGAATTAAAAGTAGATGTGATCACAAAAGTGATGAATAGTTTTACCTACATCGTAGCAATCAGAGTTTGTTATTTTTAACTTGCATCACAGCTGTGTGCAGACAGGTTTGAGGAATCCAGTCAGTAGGAGAGATACTCTGCACTACTGAGATTTCCCATGTCCACAATACCGCGATCTTTGCTAGCAACATGGTTATAACCTTTCGGTGGATAATTCTTCAAGTGAGATATCAGTTGGTTTTCATAACTTGTTGGATAAACAAACAAGTCTCACTCTATTTGGATAATATTCTTAACATAAAGCCCAATTCAAACTTCAGGGCTCATTTATTCCTACTAAATGATAGTTAAGGAGCTAAGAAATTATCTCATTAGACCACAGCGAACATTTTAGGGCATGCTCTCTTATCAAATGAAACGGTCTGTACTCTGTTCAGTAAGACATACATTGCGCATTCGTGTCTCTTTGACAAGGAACAATCCTGATTTACAATGGGGGATAGTTTCGAAGTAGTTTCGTCTTCTGATGCACCGAATGAAATGTAATGTTTTACAAATTTGACACCCATGTTTTAAGAGCAGTCTGATCAAAGATGTCTCCAATTCGGAGCTTCCTATGAGAAACGTTAGGTGAGCTGTTTGTGTCGAACGAAGGCGTATTCTGGTATACAATTCAGGGGTTGCGATAAGTGTTGCGCGAAGCTTACTAGAAGTAAAAGTACTCGGGTGTTAGTGGAAGACTTTGGCAAACGGTATAGCACAGTCTAGCTTGATTAGACTAAGAAAATTCGAATGTCTTAACTCTAGTAAAACAATCTCTTTGGACTTGGGAACAGCTTAGTCGATCAGTCCTCGGTGTTTTCGAATTTCGCCGTACAGTATATGCTCATCAGCATTTTTTCATTCTGTACACGGCCTTTGACGGATATATCGTTTTTGTGAATCACATTCGGAAGCGAATATGTTGACATAACCTTTCATAGGTAGCGTTATTGAAACATTGTCAAAAGTGGACACCAAGCTAATATACAATCTTCACCGACATTTGGAACGCTAGGCAGAGCATTTCCCATGGCAGTTCAACCAGCGCACTGGCTGCTTTTAATAGTTATCTCGAGGGTACACCACGGCCACTATCCACGGGAGCGCCGATTGAAGCTAAGGTTTGAAAGAAACTCCAAGCTCTGAAACGCCACAAAGCAGCTGGATCAGGCGGTCTGCCACCTGCCCTTTTTAAAGATTGTGAAGATACTCCCGTGACAGAGCTTATGAGATGGTTCTCAAATATCCGGAAAACCGAAAAT